TTCAGCCTTACAAGGGCAGTTGCTTTGGACTGTGTTGGTGGGCACTCCGCAAAGGTAGGGGAGGGGAGAAAGGTAGCAGAAAGATGCCTCTGATATATTTTCACTTTATAACTTAATCTAGAATATGTTTGAAAAAACATTAAGGTAAATGAGTCAGCACATTTCAGCTCTGTCCTGTTTTTTTTATTTTCAAGAGCAAAAGCACAGGAGTAATTTTTAAAAGATAGACTGTGGAGTTTGAGAGACCAATAACTTAATCTAGAATATGTTTGAAAAAAACATTAAGGTAAATAAGTCAGCACATTTCAGTTCTGTCCTGCTTTTTTTATTTTCAAGAGCAAAAGCATGGGAGTAACTTTTAAAAGATAGACTCTGGAGTTTGAGAGACCGGTTACTGTTTTTCTGAAGTATATTGTTATTTCGCACTCTTAAATACCTACGGGGAGGAAACAGTAAGTGTTTATTTCAGCACTGTGCACAGTTGCACAATAGCTGGTGTTTCTTGAGGTTAACTTGAGCTGAGGTATAAGTGAGGTCTGGTGGGTTGTATGGAGCAAAGAGAGTGGTAACAGGTTGATATTCCCAGTTAATTGCTGGAGGTGGGATAGACCTTTACAGTCATAGTTCTCCTTCTCCTGAAGTTCTCCTTTGTAATGCTGCCAAGAGTTTGTTTTCTTTGGTGGCCAAAGGAAAAAAAAAAGAGTAGAAGTAAATAGATTTAAGAAAATAACAAGTAGTATTTAAACAATTTAAAGATCAAGCAAAGCTCAGATTGAAAGGAGGAAAGGAAGGTAAAAATGTTGAAATGAGATTGACAACTAAAATAGGGATCAAAATGTAATTGAAAATTCAAAGCGTCGTTCAAATCCAAATAGACTAGTATATGAATCAATCATGGCTATCAAAATCTGGATTTCTGACTTTCAAATGTAAAACAATAAGCATAAGAACAAAGAGGCTCCTAACAGTGTGTCAGCCAAGGAAACGACCATGACACTTATCTGAGCGTCACTGTGCTGGAATTACAACCCAGAATCTTGCCACTGTGAAGTAAGGCGAGGATTGTAGGTGTGAGATGCAGAAAGAGATGCCATGTTCTTTGGTCAGTAGGACCAAAACTCTTTGTGCGCTCATGCTGCTCTCATCTCGCAGAACTGCCGTGCATCATGGGTGGGCTGGATCTGAGAGCACAGATGGGCCCGGTGTGTACTTGAGCCTCTGCTCTGATTCTTGGTGGTGATGATGAATGGGGTCAGACCTGCTGAGGGTATCAAGGTGATGGTAACCTGCGCAGAAAGAAGCCTTTTTCTGTGGTTAGTTTTGGAAGTCAGGAGAAGACCCGCTGATGAGACATCAAATACAATGCAGTAGACTTAGAAAAGAGAAAAATGAAATGGCAAACCTGTCTGCAGCCATCACTGGAAGCAAATGATAGCGAAGTTGTTCAAGTTGACGAGAAACATAAATGACTCACAAACACATACTGACGATGACTGGAGAGAGGGAGAAGACAGCAGAGAGGTTAAAGGACTTGAAGACTGAAGGGGAGGAAACCCCTTAATGAGTCCCCTCCCTATCTCCTAGGAGAGACATGAAGATACAAGCAGCTCAGACAGATTAGACCAAAGAGATTAAGAAGGAGTGACAGGAGAAATGTAAAGAACAACTCCTTATAAAATCAGCAAGTGGTGAACAAAAGTGTAAAATAGGTCTTAAAAATAGGTAGTGGTAATGCATAGGCACATACTGTGGTAATTGATAGCCTTAGCCAGGCCTGAAAGAATCTTTATGTATAAAATGTTGTTAAATGGAACCTATTCTTTAACTTGTATATTGTGTAGGGTTGTCTCCATATGGCTCCTGATTTAGCCAAAACACTTGGTATGTTTTTAAGTTAGAGTATGCGAAAGAATTGTGTTCTTAAGTCCTATTGCATTTAATAGAAATTTAGCACGTACTTATTTCAAGTGTTACGCTGAATAGCAGTCTTAAAAAAAGAGTGAAAGATATAACTATTGCGAATATTTATGGAGTGGCTTGTACTAATGAAGAAAATTCTAGATCTATAAAAAGCTCCTGATACTCTGTTTCAGAACAACAGCATTTTTTTCTTATAACTGCAAATCTGTTCAGGAATATGAAAACCAGTGTACTGCAGAAGCCAAGTTTGTAAAACAGTTGGATCAGTGTGAGATGATACTGCAAGCATTTGAGTATGAAGAGTTGGAAAACACACCTGGCAGACTGCAGGATTTTTACAATTCAACTGCTGGTATGTCATTTAGACTTCCCACCCCCCCCCCTCCCCCTTTCATAAATGAAATGAAATGTACAAATTGCCTTTTTTCTCATAGCAATTCAGAGCAAGTGGGAGCTAGTTACTTTACTCATTGCTCAAGTACCCTAAATATTTTAGGGGAAACTTACTGCAATGTGAAAATAACTTACATTTATCTGTATGTGTTGAACCTCAATTTCATTTATGCCAAGTTCCTTTTACGTCACGTTTTACCTGGAGAGACGTCCAACTTTGATTACACTTGCATGTGTTTAAGGATCTCCCTGTACCATCAGAGGGCTGTAAAGGAGGCTTGTCTTCACTGATGCTCTGTCAGGAGCTGGTTTCTACTTTATTAATGTTTTGTGAACCAGTGAAGTGAAATTTGTTATCCCTATGTGAGCTGTGTGGTCTTGTGTGACCTGCCCGAGGTACACATGAGAACCAGCTCAGTGAAATGTTTTAGGCGCAGTTGTATTACTTTTTGTTCTATCCACTGCTTTTCATCCTTTCCAAAATAAACCCATAGTGGAAAGGAAAAATAGATAAAATAATAGTCTTTATTTTAGGAAGGGAGTTGAACACGATAAGAGGACTGTGTGACGCAAAGTCATCCTATCCTGGGAGAAAACTAAGGGCCGACAAACTGTGGGAGAGGACCAGCAATCGCCAGCCACAGTCCCTGACAAGCCCCCTGTATGTTTTGGTGACTCCTCAGGGAAATAATAAGCTCTCTGAAAAATGCAACAATTTGATTAGGGAAGAAGGGAAAAAAGGACAAACAGCATCAGCACAGCTGGAATACTTAGTTTTCTAATTGACATCTTGGCCCTCCTGCTGCAAGTCAGTAACTGTGAACTAAGCTGGTGTCTTGGTAGAGCCTAGAGCGTACACCCTACGTCTAGGTGCGCCTGTAATGGGGGTGGTTTCCTGTAGCAGGATACGTAGTGTGGGATTGTCCTGGTCAGAGCGCATCCTGTTGTCAGCTCTTAAGTGTCCTGATGGAGCATGAAATATTTTTGAGTTTTGGGGGGAAAAATAGCTGTAACTACTCTTACAGTTATTCCATTTTGGGAGTAAAATGGGAGTACTCTTTTTCTTAAAAGCATAATTTGGTGTTTATTTTGAGCCTAAAGCAGCATCACTGTTAACCTTTCACTGCCAACCTTTCACACATAGGAAAATGAGAGCATTTTTAATTAACTTTCCCTTTCTTTTATTTTGCAGGCAAGTTTGTTCACCCAGAAATACTCCAGCTTGTATCTCTGATTAATGCAGAAAGGAATAAGAAAATAGCTGCTACATCTCATCCGCATTCCTGAGATGTTCCTAAACACTGTAGCTATAATAAATATTTTGGTTTATGTTCTGTGCGTTATTTTTCCTTCCATAACATCACTAATTCTGCCAGCAGATTTTTTTCATGCACTGCTGAGAATCCCAGGACCACTTAGATAGGAGCAGGTAGGATAGTTACCTCCCAGATCAGAGGTTGTGTTAAGGACCAAATACTTTGAATGAGTTTGTTTGGGTTTTTTGTGTTTTTAATTGGCCTCTGACTGATGCAGTCTCAGTTACAGATCGATTCTCTGCTAGGGAAATTCAGGTAAGTTTAAAATTTAGCTGATTGCAATCTAATCTGTTCATGTAATGAACGGACTGAGACAGGTAGTCGTCTTGTGTGACTTGTGAGTATGCACGGATGTCAGTACCTTCCGTATCAAACGGGCTGATGTCTGCTCACTGCGCCACACAGAAGCGAGACCAAGGAGCACATTTCTCCAGAAGCTCTTGACAGAGCCCAACTTGAGAGGTGAGATTTCTTCTGAGTGCACGGACCTTAAGAAGTGATGGTGGATAAAACTAGTAATCTCATTAATTACACTTTCTCAATACATTTATTGTTTCACACAATTTTTCCACTGGTCATGTTGTATCAGGGAACGGTGCTGAGATTTCTGTCGGGCCAGTATTCCTGCCCCCCCCAGCCCAGACTGGCCGTTGTGCAGACTCTGGCACAGGTGGTTGGTAATCGCAGAGTAGCTGAGGTTGGCAGGCGCCTTTGGAGCTTGCCCAGTCCGATGCAAAATCCCGTGTGAAGCTGGCCGTCCCTTCTTAACGCTGTTACACACCGGTACCGAGTCTGCTGTAAGTGACAGGTTTTAGCTGAAGTAATAATGCTGATGTAAAAGTACAGGATGGTTGTCAGGTAAAGCTGGAGTGGTGGTAAAGGCCATAACGAGGCCAGGGTCTGCAGTACTAACTTGCATCATGGGTGCAGCTGGAGATTAGGGCGATGTCACAATTACCACCTAATTAAAGTTTGCACCTGGATAGATTACATGGTAGAGACCTGGAGCTACCTTCTTTGTCTTCAGCATAAAACTAACTGCAGTTGTCATCCCCTTAAAGGTCGGTAATTCAGCTGAGCAGACACCTTCAGGTGCCGTGACTCCAGGCCACGTCTCCTTTGTGCAAACCTCGGGGCCTCACCGAAGTCGGGCCGCGTTCTGCGGCCAATGCCTTTGGCAGGGGCACGGAGCACCGTGCGGAGCTGCTGGCAGCGCTTGCCTTAGCAGCCGGCACTGCGCACAAACTCTGGAGCGTATTGGTGCGGGTGAGATGTGGGGTGCCTGCTCTGCTCCGGGAACCCCATCGGGCAGCAGCTGTGCCCTGTGGGAACCCTGGGAGAACAAGCTTCGCTTTATTGAGCAATAGGAAACTGAGCAGTGGTTGTTGGCCGCCTGCGAGGGTGATGGAGTGGGGCCCACTGAGCTTTCTCCAGCGTTTTTATTCCACTGAGAGTCATACAAATCGTGGTGGCTATTAGTTTGCACTGCATGCCAAGCATGGAAGCGCTACAGATGCATTGGAAGACAGAACTGAGAACATTCCTGACAAGAACAGTGGCCTTAACGAGGGGTTTGGTAGAAACAGGCGCAGCACAAGCGCTACCCCAGCAGGAACAGTCGGTTCGTCCCGGGCAGCGTGAGGCTTTGCTGATGGCAGAGCGTCGGGGCACCGAGCGCGGAACCACGTCGGCAGCGCGATGTGCACCGAAGGTAAACACTCGCCTGGGAAATGGGGACTCAGTTTGAATGTGTGTTGTGTGGGGCTTGGGTTTGTTTAAAGAAATCCAGCAGGTACTTCGAGTGAAACTGTACTCCTTTGTACTCACCGCAACGGCAATCTCTCTGTTTTGGGCTCTGCGTTGTAATAGAAATAGGAGACAGGAGAAGAAAGTGCGATCAGAAGGCACGAGCCGTGACACCAGGTGGGTAGAAAGGTGAGCAAACAGCCGGTGGGGCTGCAGGCTTCCGAATGCAGCACCAAAGCACAGTGCTCCTGTGTAGGAAAAGCGTGCCAGGCCCTGGAGATGGGACCTGGGCGAGGAAATCTCCTCCCTTGTCTTTCTCCTGATCCGTTCCTATCGGCACTGCCCCTGCACGTTGTGGCACGTAAGGATTTACATAGAAGAGAAGCTTGTCTGGCCAGCCCACCTCCCCTAACGGTCACACACAAGCTCTCTAAATTACACTCTTAATGAATGTAGTTAAATGCCATTTACCGCTTTCCCGGAAGCATTTATCTATGTGTATATGTATGTACATACATAAATATATAAATAACATGAGGTCTAAAGCAGTGTCCTGTATAAGGTGACAGGGCTTGGACTCTGTATTTTAACCTTGGTTTGGCTGCTGGCCCCGCTCAAAAGGTCAGTAGTTTTAGACCTAGATGTTTTCTGCCATGCATTTCACTTTTACTGAACTTGGTTCAATTATTTTTCTCCTTTGAACCTCAACCTTTTCCAAACCTGGGATACAGGTTTCCACGGGGAATTTCAGGTCCAGAAGGAACTGAACAGATTTGAAAAACTGCAGGAATGGGAGATTATGTTCTTGCAGTTTACCTCGATACTCTGCTGGGTCATAGCAAGGCTTATTGATGCACAGTAGTAGTGGTAAATACACAGAATTAAAAAGAAAACATCACAAAGTGTAAAAGAGTAAGAGAAATTTAATAATATCAATAACTTCATTTACACAAACTAAGTTGACCATTAATATCTTCTTTATTTAAATAAATTCACGTTTATGCACAAAGCCATGTAAAACAAGCTAGCAAACTGTCACAAGAAAACTACTAAAAAAACCTAATTAGATTTTCTCCCATGCTAAAATTCACACTAAAGAGTCATTTGATATAAATGTCCAAAGTTAACTTATGTCCAGTAGAACATTACAAAAGGACTTCCAACTTTGTAAAAACTGTTACAAAAGCCACACAGGAAAAAAAATCACTTAAAGCCAAGTTTCCTCGCAAGATTTTAAGCAGTCTGTAATCTCACTAACACTGATTTGAAGCTTTGGCTTATGCTCCAAAACTGCATCCATTTTGAAGGTAGCCAGCCTGGTTCCTCTACCTTATTGATAAAGCTGTGCTTATCTCAGTCTGGCGAACTGCGTAACGCAACATGCAGACCGACACGTGCTCACTAGACAGCAAGATAGTGTCACAAGTGTGCTGCTCTTTTCTTAGAAAAAAACAACGTTAAAAGGATGCAAGAAACCATGCAGAATCAAAGCTGAGGGATGACTGGCTCTTGGGGATTAAGCAGATACAATGGGGTTGGTGGAATTACGTCCTGGAGTGAAGCACGACACAAGGTGACACCAAAGGTGAAGTACCTACTCATCCTCGATACGGTAAGAGAACGGGGTTTACGCTTGCAGCTCTGATGTGCGGACTGAAGGCAGGGGCTCTCTAACCTGTGGCACATCTTAAGCCAATTGTTCGTTTTATATTCTTTCACTTAAGGCTGTATCTTGACTGAGGCTCATAAATTTACCTTCCCTTATTTTTAAGGGGAAGATATGGAGGCAAAATTATTAGAGGTTCCCTCCGCTCCCCTTCCCTTTATAATTATACTGTCAAGGCGAGAGAGCAAGCAGTGGAACATAGTTTTAAACGGAAGCTTTTGCAGCTACAATGATCACCTTAAGTCAGCAGCTGTGATGGGTTCAGCTTGCGTACGAATAACGGGGTGTCTCCTCCTGTCCTCCTTAACTCTGCTGACTGGTGGAGGGCAATGCCAGCCTGTACCAGTGAAGGGAGAAAAAACTTTTTGTGACAGTAAGTGATTTTAATTCTGTTAGGAAGCAGATCATGTACAGACACTCCTGAGCAAAGGGCACCGGGGATGGCTGGTAGACAGCTGGTGTATGGACTGTTGCTGGCAGTAGAAATTTTTGCGCAGCTCTAGGTCCATCTGTCTGACGTGGCACTGAGAGGGGAGCTGGAAACCAACAGATAGAAAACAGTAAACTAAAAGAACTAAGAAACAGAGACTGGGAGATTCTTGGAGGGAAGTTACGTGAAAACAACAACTATTTTGGTCACTTCTTAACAGAATTTAGAGCATTGTAAGTCACGGACTTGTGTGTGGTTTGTATGGTGTACAAAGTACCTGATGATAAAACGGCCCACCTAAAATACAAACAGAGGAAATGCTTTTCCAGCACAAGGCCAGGGAGGCAATTTTTCAAAGCTGACAAAATGTTGTTGCACAGGTTGGGTGGCGAGGGAGGTCTAAAAATCACTGGCTGGGCAAGTCTCTGGAGAGGCGTGAGGCCCAGGAGGGTCCGCGATCTAACACTGAAGCTCTTCTTCGCTCTCCGGGAGTCGGGTGTCAGCAAGGGAGCTCTGAGCGCTGGCGTGGGCTGCAGAGCTGAGGACTTCTTCAAAACTGCCTCCTGTGTGGCTTGTCCCACCAACCTTGGTCTGAAACGAGGCAAACAGAACAGCAAGTTCCTCTGCTCACGCTGTAGCAAGTCCCATTTGCCCTCCACCCCATGGCCATGGACGGCTGGGAACTGTTCAAAGCAGGCAGAGACCATGTGGAGCTGGGTTTTTCTTAGAACAAAAGCTATAAAAGCAGTCAAAGAAAGCAACCCCTTTCCTGCCTCAATTTATCAACTTCTAGGCTGCAATCATAAAATCTGCCAGTGGCATTTATCATATGCGTAAAGGAAACCAGTCCCTAAGCAGATCCCAGGCAGGATCCTACATCCTACCAGTAAACTCGGAGCGGTTCTTTACATGAGTAGGTCACGCTGGTTTCATGGTTTTTTCCCCATTTTAGGCAGATGGGATAAGAGATGGGTATTAAAACGCACTGGTTCATTTGCTGAGTAAAGCGGCCCATCTGCCAGCAATGGTAACACAGCTGCTCTCCAAGTACATAAACCGTACTGGGATTTTGGACAGCCGAAGGAATACAGTAACCAAAGAGCAAAACCAGCAGCTTGTCTCCCTTTAG